ACGTTAAGCAAGCCCATCTCCACACTCTCAGACTGAGCTCTGTCACGCTAAGTACACGTTAAGCAAGCCCATCTCCACACTCTCAGACTGAGCTCTGTCACGCTAACTACACGTTAAGCAAGCCCATCTCCACACTCTCAGACTGAGCTCTGTCACGCTAAGTACACGTTAAGCAAGCCCATCTCCACACTCTCAGACTGAGCTCCGTCACGCTAACTACACGTTAAGCATGCTCATCTCCACATTCTCAGACCAAGTTGTCATGCTGATATGTTAAGAATATTATCTCCACACTCTGACAGAGCTGTGTGCCACTAACTGCACGTTAAGCGTGCCCATCTCCACACTCTCAGAACGAGCTGTCACGCAAACTACATGTAAAGAACATGCACCTCCACACTGACAGACTATGTTATGCTAATTACGTTAAGCATGTCCATTTCCACATTCCCAGTGAAAGCTCTGTCATGCTAACTATGCTGCAAGCCCAAACAACCACAAGTACAAACATACCTGACTTTTCAGGTTAACTAAAAAGACAGAAAACACATACACCGTACATACACACATACACCGTACATACACACATACACCGTACATACACACATACATTTGTAGACCGACATCAAATACACACACACACACACACACACAGCATACACCCGCACACACCTGAGAAACATCCTACACAGAGACACGGATGTGCATCACACAGACAGGCTTCACCTCTGGACGCCAGCCTGCCAGGCTGGGTTATACTTCCTCCCACACGGCAGATCTGCTGAGCAGGCAGCAAGGTCATGGCGTCCGACCCACTAGCGGCGCTCAGGAACACGGACGCTTCCTGCTGGGAGAACTTCCTCAGCCCACCTGGCCCTGCCATCACCTCTCTCTAAGGGACTGTCGCTTCTCTGCCTTTGGCCCGGTCCCTCTCCAAACACGCCTCTCTCCACGGCGACGGCGGCCGGCCAGCCCCTTTGAACATGTGTATCAGAGCCGCCAGAGGAGTCCATCAGGGATTTGCTCTGAAGTGCCTGCTTATGGAATCGTCTCGCAGAGTAAATGCATAATGCAATGAGCCGCAGGCTCTCAATGCACTTAATCTGCAGCGATAATCTTCGCACTAAGTTAGACAAACATGCACTCCCGTCATCGAGTAATGGCAGAACTTAAAATGCTATTTTTTTTTATAAATGTAAAAAAACCCTCTGCAGATTTTGCAAATAATTCTAACATGACAGAGTCCAGTGTCAGCTGGAAGGAAGGAGGGACTGCAGGCTGAATGAAAGGAACAAAAAATTGGATGTCACTTGATGTCACTTGGCTTGTTTTAAAATCAGTAGTTGCCCCATTTTCTGCTCTGTTTGCTCTGGGTTGAGGCCCAGCATGAGCCACATTCCTAGCAGACCTCTTTCCCGGAAAGATACCCCACCCCGATGACAACACAGTGGAACCAGCAGGAATGCCAGATCTCAGGCCCTTTCAAGGTGATGTAACTCTGCATCTCCTTCACGGTCTGCAGAGCCTTAAGGTGAGAAGGTGCTCTGCCATCTGGCCATGGAACTGAAAGAGAATCATGCAGCCATGACAGACTTTTATTAATCCCCATGGGTAAATTGTCTTTTTGCTTACATGCCATCTTGCTCTCTTTGAGACATAAAGACAAATTTACAGCCGAGATGATATACGCTTGAGAGTCAGAGCGCAGGGTCAGCCAGGGGGTGAAGGGTCTTGCTCAAGGGTCCAAAGGCAGCATCAGACTGCCAGCCCAAGGACTGAAACCACAGAGTCCTAACCCACTGAGCTACACAGCGCCCCCCAATGGCAGAACCTAGAGCATCATGGTCTGCGAAGCAAGGGTGTAGATTTTGGTTTGGACGTCCCCTAATAATATTTTGGCATCACCGTGTGTGATTAGGGGGGGTGGGGAGTTCAGGGCTATTTTGGTCGCTACCAATGTTGAAACCAAACCTACGCTGTTGCTGTTCTGCGAATGGCGGCTCTGATTAGCCGTACATTCCGGAATGCTTCAATTAACAGACAGAAAACTAAACTGTGCCACCAATTTGCACGCCAGGCTCCCCATCGTGTGGGTGTCGCTCTCCTGTGAACAGAGGCAAAGCTACGCACCGCCCCCCCCCCACTAGAACTGCATCTGCATGCCACACTGCTCCGCCCCAGGTCTAAGCACTATCATGCTGACGGGCAGCCTGTCATTTAGGAAAACGCTCATTACCAGGGGCTCTTATCTGCGACCACGCCTCCGAACGGGATCCAGCCATGGACAAACACACAAAGACACACACAGCCACGAGCCCATTCTTCTTTTTTCATGCCTGAAATTTACCACGCATGGTATAAATTAAGGCAATTTTGAAAACAATACAGACTTGGTTAAACCACAGTCCTGTTTCACATTGCAGTCGCCACCTCATCAGCTTGAAAACCACTTTCCCTGTTGTGTCTGGCACAGATTCTAGGAATCCAGATGGATAATTCTGACTGATATATAAAAACAGTGATTGTTATTCACCTGTCAAAGAGGCAACATTCCTCAGAATTGTGTTGATGTAAACCATGCCCAAAACAGCTAATACAGGCTGAACTGTTATATCTTAATGCCTATCAATTCTGTCTAACGAAATTAAAATTTAATTGTTGCTGCTCCAGATTGGAATCACCTCATAAAGAGCCGATAAGCTCGTTTAATTGCATCCTCGTCAATCCTATATTTGGTAAATGGATGGACGGTAACATTTCCACAGCCAAGCAGTGTGCTGGAGGTTCAGGAGCAAGCCCTGCAGAAGAGACGGAGCAGCTTGATGCAGCACCACGGACAGCTCCTGAGCCCCGCACAGCTCTCTCGCCTTCTCCTCTCCGCGAGCGGTGGGCGTCACTCTCAGCACTGACAGACGCCTCTGCGAGCGCTTCATAAGCACTGAAACAAATTCCGCCTTTTCTTGAGTAAAAAACGGTGCATCCGTGAAACCGTAATGACATCCCAACTTATTTTTGTATCTTACAGACAGCATCGCGCCAAAAACAGAAAATCACACTGGATACAACTGTAATGACTTTTGCATTTAACCGCAAAGAGCTGCCACCTATCGACATGTCCCTATGCACAGCGGTGTGACACGAAAATGCAGTGTTTATATCTTAATAGTTTGAACGATAGTTCAATGCAATCATTTTACTTACGCTTAGCATCGCAGAAATAACCGTATTTTAAGAGACTGCTTATCTCAATAGAGTAGTTCAACGGAATTATTTTATTGACGTTATGCAGCATAACAATATTTAGAAACAAGATCCCATTTAAAAAGCCGACATATCCTAAATATTAAAATTAAACATTTGAAGATAGCACTCACCCTTTTCACTGCTGAGGTTTTTGAAAACTTCAAGGTCTGCCATTCAACGTATTTTTCACATGCATAGCTTTAGCCAAAAAAATTCCATCCAACACTGAACGGAAGGAAAACAGAAATCGCGCGGGCAGGACGGTATCCCCGATCGGTCTGCTTTAAGACTTCATTATCCGCACAAAAATCCAAGCACCACAGACTGGGTCGCGGGGCGCCACTCGGGTCCGGTTCCGACGCACGGGGCTGAGCGCTGTGGCCCCTCAGATTCAGCGATCCTCAGGTGAACCGATCCGAGGCCGGGGAGTCAGACAAACGCAAAACGGAGTCAGCGGAGGTGCTTCCTCAAGTGCTCAAAAACTGGGAAACACCACTTATAAGGCATGAGTGGGTCTGCGCGTTAAAACATGAGTGCAGAAGGGGAGACGCATCCGACCGACTGGGGGAACCACACAGAACTAAAAAAAATTTTATGAATATCATAATACACACGGCTTGGCACGTCAGCTGTAGCCTAGATGGCAGCCAGTATTTTTTAACGAATGATCAATTAATGACCTGGGGTTGCTTAAAGCTTGGATGATAGTGACCAGACGTAATCACAGATGAACCATGAAGGGGTTATGAAGGACCTGCTTTTCGTTATTGTAATTCCCGGGAGTAATATCACTTAAGCCACTGCAGGTTTCTGTGCGTAATTTAACTGCCTGAAAGCTCATCAGTGCTCTATGTTGGGTAGCAATTCCATAGATTGCGTTTTGTCACATTTAGTAAAGTCTACAATACCGAAATAATGTATTCCAGGTAGCACCAACTATTTTAGCTATGTCTGATTGCTTTGATTGACAATCGACTTGCTTTTTACCTTAAAAACATAAAGTCGGCTGTCAGATGTGATGTGTTCTATCACAAAAAATGACACGTTGTCAGAGTGATGACACATTGAAAAAAACATTATAAATAATTATAAAACACCGATTGCAATTTCCACGTCAATACTTCTAATTCGATTTGTCTGCTTCGGATCCTCTGTGGTTTTATGGGCATTACGTTATATTTCTGAGCAGGAATTACAGAAAAAATCGTGTTTGTACTTGCAAACGATAATAAAACGGATCCACCATACATTTCCCAGTTTATTTTCATCAGACGTATAAAGTTTTTTTTTTTATGTGCGTCACGGAACCGAATACAGTCCATCAAATGTAGCCAACGTTAGGCGTGAAAAAGGTGTGTGAAATTATTAATTTATATGAGCCAAGATGTTAGGCTATAGAAAGAAAATCATAAACACGAGTGACATTAATCAAGCATAGAGGACATCATGCTAGGCCTATTAGGTCATAAAACTGCATGACTTTAATTAAAAGTTATAGGGCAGATGTTAACTGTTTAAGTATCAAGGGAACCACTGATTTTCCTTCATGCGCTATTCCACTGGGTTAATTAGCGCCAATTAATTTCAGTGGTGACATAACAACTCCAGGGTTTGCATACTTGACAACAAAAACACAGACGTACTCATCCAAGAGTAACAACTCTCAGTCTAATGATTGCGGCAAGGAAAAATAGTGTCCATAAAATGAAAAGGCGACTCTAGAATTGGGACTCTCCGACAGGCTCAGCCCCCTGCGGAAATATGGACTGAGCTTCTATAATAGCGTCTAGGACCACCAATGATTGAATGCATTCCTGATTGTTTTCTTCGGCTCAGTTTCAACACATTCAAAATACAATCGTTCTTTCATCACCGTAAAGATAAAAGTAAAAAATTTCTTCCAATTATTACAAACCTTTCTCTAATTACATTTCAATTATATACATATATTCAACATCAATGTCTTCTTCTATATGAAAATGGTTCTGAATGTTACATTTTCCCCGCCGCTCCGGTGTGGCGGTGGCTGTTGAATGCCGAGCTGATGACAAATGAGACTCTGCCCGCATTACGCTGTTAGGCTACGCGAAGATGCGGCAGAGGGAGAGATGGACCAGGAGCGCATCAGTGACGATCAGCATCAGTGCTGCTTCAGGGCGCATAGAATGATTTGTGAAAACCCAACATTTTCTCCCTAAGTGTGCCATCGGTGTCCAATGCACCTAAAACACTCCTCACAAACAGCCGTCAATGCGGCTTGCTGCTTTCTGATTGGCCATACTCCTCAGGACTTTAGTGTAATACTAACTCAAACCACTTGTCGTAACCGGAGAAGATCAGGTTTCTGAGTGTTCACACGGCTGTCGAAGGGGACCTTTGTATTTGACACTGGCGATGGCTTAACAAGCCTCAATAGGTACAAGGGAGAAAATTAGACACATTCTCAACATCCCCCTCTTATTCAATGAATTTCTATAAAACTCCTTGTAACTCCAACTCACACCGCCTCAAAAACATTTCTTTCCAGTGACTCTCCGTGTCACTGAGGCCAGCGCAGATTGACATTTTCGACAACCTATTTCTGTCACAGGGTTACTGTCACACCTGATAATTTACCATAATAAAAAAGTAAATAAATAAGTCAAAGGCAATATATATTTAACTGTTTTATACTACTAAGCGGCAGCGCGATATAAGCGCCGTGCTTCAGTAAAGGCGCTTTTACACACAGGGTGTAACACATTGCCATCTAGTGTCCGGTTACAAAGCTAAAGTTTACCAACAGTTCTTCGGGGGGGGGGGGGGCTCAGCCGTGTGAAGAGTACCGCTGCCAGCAGATCGACTGCACCTCCCTGATTACACCACTATACAGAGACAATCTCCTCAGTGCCAAACCAGCTCAATTTTTGTCAAAATCCATATACACTCTTAGTTATGTTATGAGAAGTTTCAGTAACTATCTGTCTTAGATTTCATATTTATTAAATGTAATATTTAGAATTCACAAGACAAACTGAACTCTTCACAAAGGCCTATTAACACCTTGCTTTCTCTGGAGGCCACCAGTCAAGCGGTAACAGGAAACACCTACCGTGGAAGGCACTGTTGTCCGCTAAGAAATGTCGACAGTATTGCATGCTGCCCTGTCTGTTGATCCGTCGTGAGCTCATAATGGGAGGAGACAGACCTGTGGGGGGAGAGAGTAGAGGTTACGGTGAGTGCTTCAGCACGAAGCGCTTTCAGGCTGCATTCGCACATCGCTCCATCCCGCGAGTAACTTGGAGGCCGACAGACGGAGAGCGTATTGGGTTCTATGTGGCGAAAGGGCAGATGGCCGTGATTTTAAAAGCTCAAAAACCGAATCATTTTAGTTAAATGTCAGACAGGTCACCTTCAAAAGACACATCCGATAAGCATCTAAATGACGTGGCACAGTGCTGATGGACTGTGACATTCTCGCAGTCTCCCCAAACGGGCAGCAGAGTGATTAAATCCACACTTTATAACCTTCAGTTTATGGCTCAAGGAGGGCCCCAGTTATCCAATAGGGGCCAATGCAACAAGAGCTCGCTCAAGGCGCTCAGTCAGTGTGTTTATATAGGCAGACACAGAATGTGACTCTGGAACAGAGGCGGATATTTCCATTCCAGAAATTAAAAATCCAGGCCAAGATTTTGTTTCAAGCAACCAGTTGAGCACTCTGTGACTCTTTATATTCAATTGGCTGGTTGAGACAAAATCCTGGCCTGGATTTTTACTTCCTGCATCTGAAATGTCCACTTCTTCTCTGGAAGGAGTAACTAAACTGCCAGGCTGGTATTACTGCTTAAAACAAGGCAAACACTTCAGCGTCCGGCGTGACAGGGAGCCGGCAGCGAGGTGGCAGGATGGAGAAGCTGAGGGGAGAAACCTGGCTGAAGCTGACAGCTGCAGACTCACCAGCAGGCCCCTTGCTGTGAGGATGAGACGGCGAGTGACATGACAGGCATGGAAGCGGGTGACACCAGGCCTCGCGGGGCCCCAAACAGACAGTGCTAACGCTAAAGCCACTTGTTACTGTTCATTTGGCAGCCTGTGTGCAAACTGATACAAAGTTTTTCATTTTATTCGTCAGTGTCTTTGAGGCTTATTAGAAACAGATGATTACAAACAGATTGGTTCCTGAATTGTTTTTAAGAGTCACTAAAATTTCATCTCTTAAGTTTATATTTCTTTGTGGGAAGATTGCAGGGTCATTCTGAGAGGACGTGAAGCTATTTTTTCGTGTAAAACCCTGATCAAAACCTTACGGAAACCTCACTAAAACCCTGACCACAAACTGAAATCTGCATACATCGCAAACATAACAGTCTTATTATTAACCATTTTGCTGTGTGTGAAGCCTGCAGATGCTGGTGCAATATTTACAGAAACGGTGAAATACATACAGTAGGAGTAGAACCACTACAGGGGCAGACAGCCAAGCTCGTAGAACACGCCACCAAGAATCAAACAAGCCCCGCCCACCAGCGGTCGTGACCCAGCCCAGATCCCCCGGGGCTGAAACCTGACACACCATTACACGGTTCGGAGGTTAGCGATTCCCTGAATTTACCACCTGAGATCCTGAGAGCGAAACATGGAAGACAGACAGACCCGATAGGTCCAAGGACGACACAGACCATTCGCTGAGTTTGCCTCCACCACATGTACCCCTTCTCTGCCAGGGGATCACAGGGTAAAGCCGGGGACCCCCCAGAAAACCCAGGACTTACAGACAGTTCCTGTCGCTTTCTCAGACCTGGGTGGGGACATCTGTCCCAGCACATCTGTCTCTGACATACAGCGAGTGCAACAGATATATCCTTACAAAAGCATAACATGGCAGTAATGAAAAACAATGCAATCCCTGAGAGCTAACAGCCATGACCGAGTCCAGATTCAATCATTTTTTATAACACTGATACCAGGAAATAAACCGTTACAGGAAAACATTTAACGAGACAAGCCTCGTAGATCATGTGAGATGTGGCAACGAACCAAACAACACAGATGTGTGACAGTTTGAGAGCTTCCTGAGTATTTGACCCCTGACCCTTAAGCTTGGTCCTATCACACCCCTCTTCCCAGCCACCGCATGGGGGGAGCAACACAGCTTCAGCCCCTTAGAAATCTTTTCACTAATTAAGTCGGAAGACAAGCTCTCGGCAACCTGAATGCCCTCTTCCCACACCCACCTTCAAACCCAACAGCTGTCAACCAATCACAGAAGCCCACTGAGAACGTCACCACCAATCCGAATTCAGCAGCAACAGCATTAGCTGCTATTTTTATACTCTACGTAACACTAATGCGGTTTATTTAAAACATGTGCAACGTGATATTTTTTAATTCTGGATACTCCAACCTAAAAACAACCTCGGAGATAGATAAAACCTCTAATGTTTAATTCTGGTTACCAATCATTATCTTGTATGGTCACATGGGCGTCGTATCAGGTTACCAATGGCTCCCCGATTCCGGTGATTGGCTGCGATTACTGTTCATGGTGGGAGTGTTTGGGAACTGAGTAGTAGGCACTGCACTAAGGGGGGGGTTCGGGGACTGGAAGGACTATCAGCACCAGTTTAAATAATGACTGAGCTCCAGTTTCAGACGCATGCCACTCTGAATAATTGTAGCCCTCACCCCCGGGTCTGTGAGCACATCACTAAATGATGCCTGGCTTGATGTGCGATATTATGGATCCCTCTCACCATCTGTCGTATCTGTTTATGCAGGTCTAAAGGAAAACCCACATTGAGAAATGCAAATCCTGGGTGGCTGAGTGCTGAGTACAACCAAAGAGAGGGGCCTCATTGATCTCCTCATTCCCCCAGCAGTCGCCCTGTCGCGAAGGTTCACACCTTCCACATGTGCTGCAAATACCGGGGTTAAAACATGGCAGTAGAAACCCCCCCTTATCCTGAGCCACTCCCAGTACAGACCCTACTGCATGCAAAATTACAAGACGCTTCCGACACAACTGACACCAAGCCAAATAAAAAGCATGACAATGCTCAAAGAAGCAGCTTTCTAATGGAGGGGGGGGGGGGTTTAGCAAAGAGACTCAAAAGCAAAAGTTCATTCAAGATGACAAACAAAAGGAAAATAAACATGGGGGTGGAAAACCTCACATGTTCATAAGCTACACGACACATGCCACAGACTCATGAAGACCAGACTGCTACCATTAAACACAAAAACCAGCTTGAGCACACGGCATAACGGATCAGAGGCGGCATGGAGCTGCAGAGGTTCATGGGAAGATGTGCATCTCTTGTTCCCCCCATGGAGAAACGCCGCTAAATAATTCACTGGGGTTTGCGCTGACAGAGCGGCCTGTTTCGTGTGCGGTCCGAGAGCGATACACACAGAGCAGTGTCTCATCTTCCAGGTCCTGGAATCGCTTTGCTGCAAATCAACTGTACAGCAGGGGAGACCATGAACCCACAGAGCTTACAGGTACCTCAAACAGCCAAAGCAGACTGCGGGACCTGCAGCGGAGACGCTGAGTTTGGCTTGGAAAGACGGATGGCTGCATTGTGTGGATTACCCAGAACTGGATCTCCTACTGAGTGCACTTCTTAAGATTTCTGTGTTCTCACGCAGTGCGGAGAGGGGAGACATTTTGAGAGTAAGGAAAAGACTCTGGAGCAACAAGAATGATTTTTGAAAAATTAAGAAAAACGGTTCCCAAGATTTACACAAACACCCCTCTATTGCAGGCTGCAGGGTGTCCCTTAACCTGTTTGCAGGATAAAACAAAAGTGTGTTGATGACGGATGGGGGTGAGAGGGTCCACCGTTAGTTTGACTTGTAAAAAATGTCATTAACAATAGCGCCCCCCCCACAACGTCCCCAAGGAATCAAACAGTAAACGGGATAATATCCTTTTATCCAGAAGCAATCATCCCGTATTAAAGAAAGCCGTCTGTATGTTTTACACACCTAACATGAAATCAACGACCCAGTAAATTTATTTAATTAAACCAAAATTAATCTAAATTTTAAGTCGTTTCAGGGAAGATTAAATGAATACTATTAATTTTAGGTTTATATACACGCGGGACACAAAACGTGCCCGTGAATCCCAGTGTCGAGCAAACACAAATCGTGGCGTTAATCAGACACAAGTCGCATTGACACCAAATCATCCACGAACAGGCTGCCGTGCGGCTTGTCCCAGCGAAACCTTCAGTGCTCATACACTGATTTTACTAACTGCACTGGGCAGGTGCATAACTGTACCGCTTCTTCTGCAACTCTGATAATAAAACCGCCTTATATTTCTATCAATGAGAACTACTTAACTCACAATGCGCTAAGTACAGGACATTAGAGGTCCTGCCAAACGCTTTGAAAGTATGGGCAAACACTAAATTACTATCCTTGCGCAACTGCAGCGGTGAGGAATAATTGAAAAGAATAACCATACTTACTGGTATCAGTTTTTCAGGTAGTCTTCGTTTTCTTCACGAAACTGTTGTCGGTCGGGCTGCAGTAAAGTCAGCAGCGCAGTCGGAGCGCGTCCGCCGCCACTCATTCAAACTGACCGACCGGCGACGCGGAATCCGAGGAGCGGATTTCTGCCGGACCCTTAATTCGGCCACCGACTGCATGACCAGGTCCCTTGAGCTTCCTAATTTACGGACTTCAGTTATATTTTCCCCGCTAATTACATTCACGCACATGTTTAGTTTTCTTTACCGGTATTTGATTATATAAATTCAATTTAAATCTAATTTAAAAATCTAAGTCCTATATCTAAGTTTTGCCAAAAGTCATCCTATATATAGAGGGAAAGATTCACAGCACATTTTCAGTATTCAAGAATATTTTTATTGTGTTGCTAAACATACAAGTTAAACACATTCAGTAAAAGTATATTTAGGATTTAAATTTCACTCACAGTCTGACTTGCCTAAAATTACAAATAAAAAAACACTTTATTAGAATTAAACACAAGTGCTTTATTAAATGTTAATGTAAAATGTGGGGCAGGGACGCTGACGGCGGGATGGCTGCTCTCTGTGCCTCCTGGTCCCCTGTAACCCTGTCCGCAGTTTCCCTCCCACACCGACCCTCCCTCTAACCGTCTTTCACGCTCCCCGTCAGTCCAAAGTCCTCCAGGCCAGCTACCAGATTTTCATTTACCTTCCAGTTCAAACAGCCGCCCAATGAGGGGCGACCAGCTCGCTCTGGCCGCCCGTGGGAGCGGCACAACAAAGACCCGGCTCCGTCATTCTTCTGGGGACACTTTCTTTCGCTTTCCTCCATCCAAAGTTCCAAACCCCACTCGCACACACGGGGAGAGCGGTTTGCGGGTGGGGATCTAGCTTTGGCGGACTTCCCCCACAAGGCTGCTAGAGAGCAGCACCACCTCGGGAAGAACTTAGATTCTGTTCTGACAGAAATAATTAAACGGTGAAGTAAAAAACATAAAAAAAAATCAAACCACATCTGCTACAGAAGAAACCCACGCTGCTTATCCAGTTCTGGGGCGGAGTGTAAACAACCCGGCCACACAACGGGCTCAGTGTGTGAAGCACTTTCTTTGTCATTGTTTTTTAAATTGAGGGTTACATATTCATTCCTTCCATCGTTAATTGTTTTTTAACCAAAATCTAAGTTGAGCCTCACTCACATTTTATCTAAGGCGTCTCTGACGCCATCCCCCATACTGAATTTATACCCTGCCTTTTGTGTTGGCCCTCTCACAGCTATCTAGGGTTTCACTTTTTTTTGGTCTGCTTTGTCCTTTGAATGCTACCATGACAACCGAGTCCCCTTTCTCAGTGGGGGGGCGGGGGGGGGGTGTGTGTGAGGGGGAGTAGTGGACCCCTCCAGCACTATTACCGTAACAATGTGGCTCTCTGTCAGAGGACAACGGTAATGAGAAGGCTTTCGAAAAGGGGGGGGGGGGGGGGGGTCACAAAAATGACTGCGGGAATCACTACATCACTCAGTGTACCATGAGGACACAAGACCTGGTGATCCTGAGGTTCACAGATCCACGTTAGTCAAAAGATCAACTTATCTGCAGTGTGCATGCGTTAAGAAATAAACAAAAAACTGCTGTTACCCAAGTATTACAGACGCAGGCCCTGGTCACATGTCACACGTTTTAACATCTAACAGACCACATGGTAAATACAGTATTTATTTACAAATAAGGTTTTTACAAAGTCACGTAATTTATTACATTTATTACCGAAGATATTTCTGACCAGGTAGTACTTCTGGCTTGTCTTCTCTACATATTGACCTCCCACCCAACCAAAATCCGGCCCGGCTTTTGTCCTCCATAGGGTTCTAGGTCCGTCTGAGCAGTTTTTTAAGCAGCCGCACCACGGCGCTGTCACTGAGGGCCCCCGCCAGCCTCTTCCAGAAGCTCTCCTGCACCCACAGGCCCCGTCCCCTCCTCTCCGCCTGCACCTCGGCCCTCAGCAGGCGCCTGTGGACCCTCCAGTAGAGCCGGGAGCCGTGGTGAAGGCCCACCACCGGTACAGTCCTTCCCAGGCCCAGGCGAAGCAGCTCCTCATTCACACACGTGTTGAACACAACACCCTGGATGGGACCCGGCAGCCACCGCAGGAGGGGGGGGGGGGGGCAGGGGGAGGCGGCAGACACCAGCATGTTACTTTTCACCAGAATCTGACGACACCTTCAAAACAGACCCCTAACTACACATCTCCCCCCCCCAAAAAAAAACAGGCAGAAGAACACACTCACCCTCCCCAGGGACACCAGGCAGTCGAGAGTGTTGTCGTCCCGCCGAATCAGCCTGAACCACACGGTCTCTGTGGACGTCAGGTGGTCCCGAAGCCACGCCCAGCCCTCAGCGGTCACCTGCACTCCAGCAAGACGCACGTCAAGCAGGCTGTCCGGGCGACCTGAGAAAAACAGGCAATAAAGTGACTGAGGACCCTCCATATCAGCCTAATCACTGGCGTTTTATTAAGAACATAAGAACATAAGAAATTTACAAACGAGAGGAGGCTATTCGGCCCATCAAGCTCGTTTGGGGAGAACTTAGCTAATAGCTCAGAGTTGTTAAAATCTTATCTAGCTCTGATTTAAAGGAACCCATGGTTTTAGCTTCCACTACAATAGCAGGAAGACTATTCCATACTCTGACTACACGCTGTGTAAAGAAGTGCTTCCTCAAATTTGTTTTAAAATGTTCTCCCGCTAATTTCCACTTATGGCCACGAGTTCTAGTATTTAGACTAATGTCATTCAGCGTGTTATTGTCATGCCATTTCATATCTCGGTCGCTTATATTAGGGGTTCCCAGACTTAATACATTTCTCTGGTTCCATGTGATCAAGAGGCGCGATAATCAGGTGTCATTTATATAGTAATATAGCTTATCTCTGGCAACCCACCCCTACTTCAAAACCTCCAGCTGGGATGCTCGTCACGGACCGGGTGGGGGGGGGGGGGGAAATCCCTAGCTTAGATGATGCTTGAAGCCTTGAACTCAAAGTGACCTAGAATATTCTACATCTGGATATTTTAACTGGAGTAATTCCTGTTAGACATGATGGCCCAGAAATCGACTTATAGCCAGTTCTCTTAATCACTGAGCTAACTGTTGCCCACCTTGTCACAGCAGAACAACATGTGACGCCACATGGGAGACGCTACTGCGTGAACAGGCAACCGTATAATGCTGCTCGATTCCCAGGGGCAGAATCCTGATACTCACTGAGAAGAACTTAGAGAGACCTAAAGGTGTCCCATTAAAACCCTTAACATCAGAAAGAAGGAGTAGAGGAGAAATAGCCATAATCCCATCTGGCTGAAAAGTCACTCTACAGAGGATGAAGTAGAACATCAACAGCGAAATCTAAGGAGCGATGCGTTTAAAACTACTATCTTTCTCAAACAATACATATACTGTATATATATATATATCCAGTTTTTTAAAGTCCAGTAATGTCAGTCTTTTTAATGTAAAGGTTAGACACACTTTGAGAAATGTAAACCAATATGAAAGACTACGGGGTCTTTTTTCACATTCATAAGACTGAAGCTATTTTTGTTGTTTGCGAAGGAACCAGAACCAACCTTCTTAACCTGGTGTGATGTGTTAGGGTGAGTCTGACAGTGGGATGAAAAACCATACAGTTAGGAAGTACAGGTAATAGTGTGTTCCTAAGTGCTCCTTGTTTTGGGGGTGGGGCGTACATTTCCCCAGCAGGGAGGAAAGCACCGGGATCTTGATGGGGGTGTGCTCCACCTCCAGCCCCTTGTCTGTGACCCGACGGACTCTGCCTCGCAGGCTGACGTTCCTCTCTATGAAATAAGCTGGGATTTCCGAGGCAGTGCCAAACTTAGCAGTCTGTGACAAAAGAGAGATCATTTTTTTTTAGATTTTCATAAGTGAGCACTGTCAAGCCAGTTACTAAACAATTTACTAATAAATACACGAATATATTCTAAGAGACGAATCAATATCAGCTTGTTAAAGGCTACGTTTCATATTACCCCTAACCGGCCATTCCTTTCTCAGCTGAATGATGTGAATGTGAAAATTAATGTCTTCAGGTGCATCTGCATCACGAATCTGTCGAGGTCATTTAGTTGACTACATGAGGATACTGCTGAATGACATTTACTGCTGCGTTTTTACTGCAAAGCTATGACCCCGCGTGTTCTTTTATTTGACGATACTAACCAGTTTAATGCTTCGTGCTATTATAACCACCCCAGCTATTGCAAGACCGGTGCTGAGACTCTGCAAAAACACATCACAGAAATGGATTACATTACACTCTGAGATACTCCTTTCAACACGGGTATCAAGATACCAGTCATTTTAAATGTCTATTTTATTTAAAGTACCAGTAACTTAAGGTCTGATATTGTAAACAGTGGTGTCTTTGTAGCGTTGATATGGCAATACTAGGTGATTAGGTAAGGGCTTGTAATGTACATATTCGGCGTTAAAATTGGCTCGTACCCTCACAAGCGTGAGGTGATCGTCCGCAAATTGAGATATCGTAGAAACGACGTTGGTGGACGCTTTTCCACCGCCTACAGATCCCGTCCGTGGCGGTACGGCCGATGGAGGTTCCGCCATGTTGTTTGTCATCTAAAAACTACAAACTGAGCTCTACCCCCGCTGTAGTGGGGGGCGAATGGGCCAAAATAAGTGCGTACGCGATTTCGTTTTTCAGAGGTTGTGTAGTCGCGGTAGGTTAGAACCGAAACGCCTGTTTAATGATCTTACTATTAAATCAATAAACAAAACTAGGTGGATATTTTTTTGCTTTAATCAACTTAGTGCAAAATAAAGATAAAAAACAGCAAATGAATTGTTAAATATTTTTATTATATATGATATGTATTAAATCTTTATAATATTTAATCTTGCTCATTTTTTTGGTACAAAAGTTCCCTAGAACTGCTTACAGTTCAGCATATGTACAATCAGTCATTACAGCCACCCTGTAACTTCTGCCATATTTGACAGACCCAAATTCACAAAAAAAAAAATCTTCCGACTTAAGCAAAAACTGCACACAATGCAAGACCAAAGAAGTTCTCAAAAGTTCTCTCTGAACCTTCCCAGCTAATTATCGCACTCAGAACATTGACACGCTGTGAAAACTTGGAACATGGTGAAAACAAACCAGGGGTCCTAGAGAAGAACCTCACGTCACAAAACAACTTTCAACAGTCATGTTAAAATGCCTGACAGGAACAATGACCCAATATTTTAAAGCATTCCATGCCCACCGTGTAGTTCCTGACACCTCCAGCAGAGGTCATATGACATCATTTTATCAAGTAAAGAAAAACAATTACTCAAAAGAAAAGACTGGATTTGAAATTTGTCCCTCCATCACGAGAGTTCAGGTCCTTTTAAAATCTAACATAAATATAAAATCTAAATTATAATCGGAGAAAAAATACATCAAAACTATTTAAGTGACACTAAGAAATAAACAATTTTGGCAAATTAGAAGGAATAACATTCTTTTGGTGATTTTCAGCTCAGTTCAGTAGAGCCATCAAATAATGTAAATAATGACAAGAATGTAAAAGTATTCTACACATTCTTTGTGTGCCATCTTCAATAAAAATGTTTTTAAAACATAATTAAAAAAAAGAAAAGTACAGCTACATCCTATACAGAAATACACAGGAGACAAAAATGTTTTTACATGTTAACATAAGAAAGTCCTGCAATCATAAAAATACAGAAGAGTAGGAAAAGCAGAAGAAAACTGAATCTACAATCCATTTGCTTTCCCTTTACAATACTGTACAAACTACACAAAATCACTTTCTAACTAGTGCTCACCCAAATGAAACCCCCCAGACTAAATAATCAGTGTCAAACTCCTTTACGGCAGACAGAAACTGAAAGTATATACTGGAATATATTTTGCATTAGCCCTAACCCAGACTTAATGCAATTTTGTGCAACAGTTGTGCATCATCTGAAGCCAGGAAGCATAAACCCACAAGTGTGGAGATACACTTAATGATAATTATGTTGGACCTCTGAGATGGGGGAGCAAAAAGACCGACTTATGATCAAGACTCAGTTTGGAAATATGTGACGGCAACTTCTCATGGTAAAGCACCCAAGTATGTATGCAGGACAGGGAAGAGACCAGGGTCAGGAGACGTAATAAGAAGAGGTGGAAAGTTCAGGTCCAGAAAGAACAAATCCAGTCCAAGATTTCGACCAAACAGTTGAGTATAAAGAGTCACAGTGACAGTGTACTCGACTGGTTGGTTGAAACAAAACCTTGGAATGGATTTGTACTTTCTGGACCTGAACCTGAACTTTCCACCTCTGATAATAAGATGGGTGAAAGAGCAACAGTGAAGAAGATTGAAAAACATTAACAGACACAAGAAAGGGGTGATTGGCTGAATGGTAGCACAGGGATGGGCATCCGCAGCCTAGGAAGGCGGCATGGCCTGCCATCAGGTGCCCCAATACGCAGCTGCACGAGGAGATGGAGGCGGGGGGGGGGGTTGGGTCACTTGGGCCTCTGGCACTGCCAGGCCGAAGGTCTCGTATCCTGCAATCGTTTCAGGCGCTTTCCCAGCCAGAACCACCAGCCAAAGCCGACCAGAACACACACCAGAGACTCCACATAATACCCATCAAGCAGCGTCACACAAGTGCCGCCCATCTGGGAACAGAGCTACAGGGAAGAAGGGGAGGAGAAACAGACATTAAAATCACCTTAGGAAAAGTCCAGCAAATCTCTCAGTAATTATCTTCACTTGGTCATGATCATTCTGAGACAAAGCTAAGCACCTAACCATTTCATTATCCAAAACAATACAGAAATGTATCCCAGCAACTAGAAATTTTAATGAGGTGTGACAATCCAATTAACAAGATACATGATGGCACACAAATGGAACAGCATGCTTGTGAAGACCCCAACATTGTGTACCACTCCATGGAGTTCTCACTTTTTTGGTCCACAAGCTGGTCAGCTGACCATCAGCCAGAGTGCAGACTCACCCCAGCAGCCTCTGGAGAGTTACACGTCTGGCCTGCGGCCCCCTGACATTCCTTGGTCGTCAGCGGGTCCACAAGCCACAGCGCCAGCGTGGACGGCCAGTTCCCACCCAGGTTGGTGACGGTGTTGAGGAGGGTCATGTAGGTGCCTCCAATGAGGGGGTCACTAACTTTGGCATGGAAGGCCATCGTGGCCACATACATGCTGTACAGGGCCACCTGGGGGGGGGGAACCAAACAAAATCTTTTAAACAGTGTGGGTGTGCAGGCGGCATCTACAACGTCTCTGACCGTCCCCAGAAAACCTGGAGCCAGTGATCAAAAGGATCACCTGGTGAACAGCGTAGCTCAGGAGCACAATGCCGTAGTATCCGAGGGGGAAGTCCTTCTCCTGCCGCACGCTGGGTGTCCACCACACCAGCAGAGCATACTCCAAGCCAATCAGCAACCTACCAACAGATGTTAAGCTTGGTGCTGACACTCCAAATGTTCTAGAAGCTTCATTTACACACCCCAAGTACCAAACCAACTTGTACAATAAATGGTGATATAGGTATAAGTTTGTCCTCCTGCTGGATGCTAGTGCGTTTGCGTACCTGAAAGGGAAGGCCTTGTAGAACACATCCAGGGGCCGGGGCCCCGCTGTGTACTTGCTGATAAGGAGGGGCAGGAGGATCTGCAGGGGCACCATGGGCACGGCCAGCAGAGCCAGCTTCTCCTTCGGCACCCCCGCCTCCACCAGCTTTAGTCCCGTCACGGCGTCTGCTGCGGAGAAGCCCACCTGCAGATTGTGAAGCCAAGAGAGATACTAGCATTAGCCAGATCAGGGGATCGAATCTCTAACTGTGTTAATAGCAAACACATATTAATCACTGGTAATATTTGTTAAACATTGCTTAATATTAGTGCTGTCAAACGATTAAAATTTTTAATCAGATTAATCACAGGGTTGCTGTGGATTAATTTAGATTAATCACGATTAAATATCATTCATTTTTAATCTATATTAATCACAATTCATTTTGCATGAGCAAACGGACTCAAGAAAAAAGGGAATATATATGCACTTAACATGTTTATTGAACATCTTGAACAC